CTTGGTCAAGCCATCTAACCTCACTAAGCCTCAGTTTCCGCATTTGAAATGGGAACCCCCAGTATTCCACACTCGGAGTAGTAAGAATTAAGTGAGAGATTGCTTGTGAGGTGTTATATAGTGTTTGACACAGTAAGTGCTCAATAAATATTAGCTATCATTAATTTTAATATTAATGAGATTTTATACTATTTGTAATAAAAGTCCAATAAAAGTTGAATTTAGATTACAGGATTTTAAAATGCAGTTTTATTACTTTTAGGTACATAGAGTGACCCCTATTGGGCTACTGCAATATTGCCAGATAGTCTTTGGGGGATTGTAAGAATCACTGGAAAATAATGATTTGCAATTAATGGCTTGTTTCTATATCACAAAAGGTACGTCTCAAGCACTTAAAAAGAGTTTCTGCAGTTCCATAGTCCCTATGGGCCACTAGAATGTGGCCCCGGGTGTTTATTTGCTGACCAATGCTCTTCTCAGAGCAGGAGGGCCAAGTCCAGGTCTGGACCAGGGTCATCACCAGTCAGGAATGAAAGACAGGAGAGAGGCTGAGGAGAGGCCCTACCACAGAGAGCCCTGTTAGAAGAACCAGGCAGACCGAGGTCAGGGGAACCCCAAGATCTTCTACCTCACAGCTGGGGGCAGTGAACAGAGCTCAGTGCTCAATCCCTGGGGGATGGACGCATGGGGCACCTGGAGTCATGCACAGGCCATGCACCTGACCACCTGCTCCTCCATGATGGTGAACTGGAGGCTGCCACAGTGACTTCCTCTGGCTCATCATCCACCAACTTCCATGCTTTCCTGCCTCTAGAGCAGTCAAATTATGACACCTGGTTGGCCAGCTAGACTACACTTCACAGTCTCCTTTGCAGTTAGGTCAAGTTCTCGCCAATGGGATGTGAGCACAAGTGATGCATGCCCCACTCAAGCCAGAGCCTTTAAGACAGTGGGCCCACCTCCCTCTAAATCTCTTTCTCTTTCCTCCTGCCTATAACCAGGACATGGGTGAGACCCAGCTTCACCCATGGAGAGGTTCATAATACTCTGGGGAATTGTGGAGAAACAGATGGAAGGAACCCACGACTCTAAATGAGCTACCTGCCCAAAACTATTGTAAAAAAGAAATAATTATTTTTCTTTAAGATACTGGATTTTGCAAAGGGGGTCTCTGTTACTACAGCTTAGCTTCTCCTGACTAATACAAAGAATTTCCAAAATATTTGACAAAAGAGGAAGCAAGGAAAGTCACTTTGGAATCTAGAATTGTTGGTTTCCTCTTCATTAACAGCAGAAGGAACATCTAGTCTTATTGGGTTACATCTAGTATTTTTTGTTGAGCTTCTACTGTATGTCCAGTACTGAGGGAAAGTCTGGGGATACAGAGCAATAGAAAACAACAAAAATGTTAGAACTCCTTGACCCATCACCGTAGCATCACAGTAGGACTTCGGTGAAATTTCCCAGCTCACTTCATCCCATCTTACTGCATACCCTGTGTTCCAGCTCCCTGGGTCTACACCAGCTTCCAAACATACCATGGGCTTGGATGTCTCTGGATCTTTGCTGTTGCTGTACCCTCTGCCTGGAATGCCCATTCTTTTCCTTCTCACTGATGAAATGTCCCTTATTCTTCCAGACTTTCTCTGTGGTAGAGTTAACTCTTCTTTATTGGGTCATATTGCCAAGAAGGTGTACCTCTTTATTTTTTAGGTGGGCACCCAGTGGGTCCTATTAAACTTTGGATGCCCAGTACTGAGCACAAGGGCTGGCAAAGAACAGGGGCCCACAAACACTCATTCATTTGACAAACACCAGTCAGGTCCCCTAAGAAGGACAAGAGACAGAACAGTGAATAAGACACGCATCTTTGCCCTCAGTTTATATTCTAGCAGGGGAGATGAACATTACACAGACAAATAAACAACTATGTAATTACACATGATGATGTATGATGTAAGGAAATGGACAAGGCATGGGGATGAGAGCTTTGGATGGGCAGTACTTTCAGACAAGAGGCAGGGCTGGCCTGAGTGAGGAAGTGCTGTGTAAGCTGAGACTTCAGGGGTGTGAGAGTAATGGGGAACAGGAGGGTGTCTGTGGTGGGGACGGTGCTCAGGCAGAAGGCACAGTTTGTGCAACTGCTTGGAGACAGAAGAGAGCTTGATAGGTGGTCACAGGGAAATGAGCAGGGGGACAGTGATGGGAGATGAGACAGGGTGGTGGTGAGGATTTGGGGGTTTTATCTCCTGAGCACCAGGCAGCCATCCATGGCTTCAAGTAGAGTCATGACCCAGTCTGATTTCCATGACAGGAGAGGAGTTTACTGCAATGGTCCCAGCCCAACTTGATGCAGCCTTGGACGAAGGAGGATGGTGATGGGGAATGAGCGAGCCATATAGGGTCGTGCTGTGGAAGTAAAGTGAATGTACTGGGTGTAGGAGTGGAGGTAGATGAAAGAGTCAAGGTTGACTCCTGGAGGCTTCTGGAAGGGGGGATGGGAGGGTATTAGAAGAGGTGGAGGAAGGGAAGAGGGTCTGTGTCTTCAAGAAGCACGGAGCCACAGTGACGGAGCAGAAGTTACAACTGAACAAGACCATGTGCCCCTTTAAACAAGTGCTGACAAGAGTGAATGAGGAAGAAGAAGATTTATTTAAACTTAAAGATTTATGCTAATAAAGAGTGGAAATAACCTATACATCTAGCAATAGGGGACTGGAAATTAGAAGGCCTCTCTATAACAGATCACTCTGCAGCTCTATAAAAGAACAAAGAAACTCTAGATTATTAAGGAATTGTCTCCAAGACATATTATTAAGTGAAAAATTAAGGTGAAGGTATAGAACGGCAGGCATTGTATGCAACCATTTGCCTTAAAATTGAGGAAATACATGAACATAAATATACAAATCTATAATACAAATTTTTTTTTTTTTTTTTGGCTTTAAATAAGCTGTCTCTGGAAGGACACACAAGACACCAATAATAACGGTTGCCTCCAGGAAGGAGAACAGGAGTAGAGGGAGAATTTAGATTCCATATCCTTTTGCACCTTTAAGAGTTTCAACCACGAGGAGGCATTAACTATTAAACAACTAATAATTATCATTAAATACGAATTTAAAATCAAGAATATATTCCAGCCCAAAGATTAATCAGCTATTACAGAGGGTGTTAGATCTGAAGAGTTGTTGTCAAGGCCGACTTCTTCCTGCTCCGATGAGCGCCCCCCACACTCCCTCTCCTCCCCCTCCTCCTCCCACTCTGTACTCCCAGCTCCGGGTATTGGGAGGCAGCAGAGAGCTGGCATTTTGCCCTCCTGTCCCATAAACCCAGGCGTCAACTAGGCTATACTACCATATGCGGGCTTCTACAGTTTTGATTGTTGCTATTAAAACTGATGTTTTTTCCTTGAAATCACCTAATATACAGAAAATATATGGTCAGTTCTACAGCAGTGAGTAGCCTAAATCAAGGTCAGAATCCCAAGCCCATAATGTTTCCCCCAAAAATAGCTCCATGAGTCACCAGTCACCCCTACCCCTCGGGGAAGGTGAGCTGTTATTGAGTCCCCGTGCCCAGCCCAGGTAAGGCAAGAGATGAGAGAGAGAGACATGCAGAGGCTGCATCTCCGTCATGGAGCCTGCAATCTAACCAGGAGAGAGTGAACGCCCCAGAGAAGTCAGCAAAACCACAAGAGCTCAATTATGAAAGCGGAAGCCTAGGAGATGGCATGAGGCAGAATATACACCAGACGGGGCTCCCCATGAGACAGCAGATGCTGAGGGTTCAGAGGAGCCTCCGGGAGGGGAAGGGAACCACACAGTGGGGTGAGTTACACACACCACCTCCTCTCACCCTCCCACCCACCCAGGACCAGCGACATGATTTGCAGGACCTAGTGCTAAAAGAAAATGAGTGACCTTTGCTAACAAATTATTAGGGATTTCAAGATGGCAACAGCAGAGCATTAAGCCAGGCACAGGGTCCCTCTGAGCATGCAGCCCTATGTGACTACACAAGTTGCATACCCATGAAGCCAGCCCTGCAACCACCCTTCAGTGTAGGCAACCCAAATGAGGCCTCTGAGGTGCCATGAGGTTAAAGCAGATGCCTAAGGTTGCAGGGCAACATAGTGGAGGGGTTCGGATTTGAACCCCAGTAAAGCCCATGCTTCTGGCCCACCACTGCACTCTAGTTTTTTTTTCTTTTTTGAGACAGTCTTGCTCTGTCACCCAGGCTGGACTGCAGTGACATGATCTTGGCTCACTGCAACCTCCACCTCCTGGGTTCAAGCAATTCTCATGCCTCTGCCTCCCGAGTAGCTGCGATTACAGGCACCTGCCACCATGCCTAGCTAATTTTTGTATTTTTAGTAGATATGAGATTTCACCATGTTGGCCAAGCTGGTCTCGAACTTCTGACCTCAAGCAATCTGCCCACTGCACTCTCATAATAAGAATAGCCAACCTTGAGTGCTCACTCTAAGCCAGGCAGTGTTCTAAGCATTATTCATGTATTCATTTAATGCACACAACCACCTGCAAAGTACCATTATTATCCCTATTTTACAGATAAAGAAATAAGCACAGAGAAGTCCAGAATGTTCCCAAGGTCACACAGCTAGTGAGTGGCAGAACTAGGGCTCAAAAAAAAGGCGATCTGACCCCCAAAGTGTACTCTCCCCGTGCATTCTCCTGGGAGGGTTGGGAGGGTTCCACACAGAAGGTGCAGCCTGTGAGGTGGGTTCTGAGGGCCAAGATTAACTCAGTTGACCAGAGTGGGCAGGTCAAATTTGGGAGCAGAGAGGTAAGGGCCAGAAAAGGCTAGATGTGACCGATCTCCAGATTTGACAGGACAACTCACGAAGTCCTGCATCACCGCCGCAGGTTGCCCCGGGGACACCCCTACTCTGTGGGCCTGTTGCGCAGGTCCCACACATCCCAGCTGTTTACAGGAATGGCAGCAGCCACATCTTCATGGGCAACCCTCCCCTGATGGAACAGCAGCTCACAAAGAGAGGAGGGAAAAATAATAGAAAGTACTGAGAGAAGCTAGAATGTTTACACCTTGCCCTGGCTTTTTTTCTCATGACAGGCAGTGACTAATACCAGCAGTAAAAAAATAACCCAGCCCAGTGCAGCACCCCAGTGGCATCCCCATGAAATTGATGGATACATGAGCCCCCGCAGTCCATAGCCGCCTGTGTGTCCTTGCTGGGGAAGCGGGGAGAGGGGTCAGGAGGAGAGGTGCACACCCAGCAGCGTTGGGAAACTGCATGCCGTGCTTGTGGCTAATAGCAAAAGACAGTGCTTTAGTGGGAGGCATGGTGGACCCCAGAGAACTGACAATTAAACTGACTTTAAATCCTGGCTTCTTCTCATCTCAGTTCTTCGGGTGTCCAGGCTGAGTGCTCTGCCATGTGGCTCACTGAGTCACATCCTCACACAAACCTTCGGAGAGAAGTCCGTTATTCTTCTCATTTTACCCATCAGGAAGCTGAAACTCCAGAAACAGTAAGTCACTTGTCCAAGAACACCCAGACCGGAAGGGCATGTTTCCATGTCTGCATCTGAAAATGAGTAAGTTGCTAGACCACATAAAATTGTGTTACCCCTAAAATAAGACACTGGCACAGCAGCTGGTACACAGTAAGTACTCAAGAAATGAGTAGTATGAAAGAACCCACCCGACAGGCGGCTGCTGAGAACTTCACTTGGCTTCAGGCCGGTCAAACCTTCCAGCGTGGATGAGAATCCAGTAGTAGCAGGTTGCACAATTTCATTTTATCTCAGACACCCAGAGTTTGGACCTTCAAGACGCAGCGCACAAATGGATGTAAATGAGATGCAAATCAAGCTGTCCCCAGATAAACAGGAAACCAAATATCTCTAGCGATAGCTCTTTCCTCTCCTTATGGAGATCAAGGGCATGGGCTGTCTCTGAAGGCAATCCAAAGCTCACATCTGTCTGACTTCATGATTACCACCAGCTCTCCCAGATAGAGAATGCCATCGCCAAGCACTGCCATGGCAGTGCTTTCAGGGGCCCCGATTCCAAGGCCTTATTTCCCCTCATCCTCTTTGAGGAGTGAGGGCCTCACAGGCTTTGATCTTTGGATCAGAAGAGAAGGTGAAATTTCTTCTTGCTCAGGACTTGGCGAGTGAGATCAGCTCTAAGTAGAGGCCCTGTCAGAGGCATCTGCATGGCAACAGAAATTATAACTGCAGTAATGTGATGTAACAAGAAATATATACTTGTTCTCTGCCCCTGGTTCCAGGCACAGAGCTCCTAAAACCCTTGTAATGTTCCGAGCAACAGAGGTGCAAGGTACGTCTTTTGTTCTAATAATGTTTGGTCTATGACCCTAGTTCCTGACCGAGTTCCTAATCCCTTGGAATTTCCTGGGTGATAGGGGCATTTTTTGTTCTAATTAGGTGACTCTTGTTGGGATCCTGGGTAACTTCAGGATGGGGGCTGGTCCCCAGAGAGACTGGGTCATAATTGGAAGCTTGGAACTTTCAGCTCCCTCCTCATCCTCCAGGAAGGAGAGGGCCTGAGGATTGAATTAATAAGGGACCATACGTATGCGATGATGCCTTCATAAAAATCCCAGAACTATAGGGTTCGGAGAGTTTCTGGATTGCTGAACACAAGGAGGTCTGTGGAGGGTGGTACCCCCAGAGAAAGCATGGAAGCTCCACACCCCTTCTCTCTTACTTTGCTCTAGGCATCTCTTCCATCTGGCTGCTCTTCTGTATATTTTGTAATACGCTTTGTAATAAACGTGTAAACACAAATAATTCCCCTGAGTTCTGTGATGCTCTAGCAAAGTCATTAAACCTGAAGAGAGAATCATAGGAACCCCCACTTTATGGCTGGTTGGCCAGAAGCACAGGCCACAGTCTGGAGCTCATGATTCACATCTGGAGTGGGGGGCAGTCTTGTGGAACTCAGCCCTTAACTTGTGGGATAAAATGCCATCTCCAGGCAGATAGTGTCAGAAATGAATTAGAGGACACCCATCTATTTTCCCCTGGAGAACTGGTTGTTAGTGAGGAGAAACCCGCACACATTTTGGTGAGCAGAAGTGAAGTGTTCTGTAGTGAGTGGTGTGTGAGTAGGAAAAGCCATGTGTGTTTTCCTATCTCTTTGATAACAACCATAGGCATCAATAGAGACCTGCATGATATGATGAGATGCAGGGACAATGAGAGCTCTGCATGGTATTCTGAGATGCGTGGTATGCTGAGATGCATGGTATGCTCAGATGCATGGTACAATGAGATGCACGGTACGATGAGAGCCCTACATGATAGACTGAGATGCATGGCATGATGAGATGCAGGGAAGATGAGAGCTCTGCAAGGTACGCTGAGATGCACGGTACGCTGAGATGAGTGATACCATGATGAGATGCATGGTACACTGAGATGCATGGTATGAAAAGATGCAGGGTCGACGAGAGCCCTGCATGGTACAATGAGATGCAGGGATGCAGGGTCTTAACAAAATGCAAATGCAAATGCCTGCAGGTGACATGCACAATGAAACCAGGAGTGTGGAAGGAAACCACCAAGGCAGCCCAAGGATGGCAAGTGGTATTGGACCACTAGTGCCTGGGAAGCAATAGGAACTGGGATACATCAGAGGACCTGCCTTGTCTCCAGCTGGAGCCCCCACTTGGATGGGACCTGCTACTGCTATGTAGGAACTGCAGGCACAGATCATCTGATACTTCAGAAGAAGCTAATGATCTTGACTTGTAACATGACATTCTTGATTACTGGTTCAATGTGTTGTAACACCAATGAGCTTAACAAAAATTTGAGGTTTCTGGCTCATGGCTTCCTGTTTACAGGACCTGTATCAAGAACGGTTTTCAACCTTTCCTCTCGTGGACCCTTTGGAAATGCAATGAATACAAGTCAAAAGAAAAGCCCCGGTGTGAGAAGATATTTGCAATTCATGTAACTGCCAAGGATTGATTTCTAGAATACATTAAAATGAAACTTAACAAAAAACCCTTTATGAATCAATAAATTAAAAACAATACAACCCAATGGAAAAATGGGTAATAGACTTGAACTGTACTTTACAGAAAGGACACCCTAATGGCCAATAAATGTATTAAAAGTGTCACATCTTATTAATCATCAAATAAATGCAAATTTAGCAAAAACATTGCCCATACACACACCTACAGGACTGGCAAAAGTGAGTCTACCTAACAATACCAACAGTGGCGAAGATGTGGAAGAACTGGCACTCTCATGCTGGTGGGAGTGTAAACAGGTAGAAACACTGAGAAAAATGGTTGGATTACCAATAGTCATCTTGCTTTTTAAACCTTAGGAGGAGAATGATCTGGCTTTGGTGTATTAAAGCTTAATTATTTATGCTTGTCTGGTAAAACTGAGTATACACATACCCCATGACCTGACAATCTCACTCCCAATTATTTTCTTTAAACAATCTCTTGCGTGTCCACGGAACATTGTTCTTAATAGTCAAAACCTAGAAATAGCCCAAATGTCCAGAAACTTGTGCGCTGCATTGAGTTACATGATGGAAGACCAGGGTGCAGAGAAACAGAGAAAACCGTAGGTCCACACATGGCCAGGAATAAATCTCAAAAGATCCCCTATATATTTATAGCATAAAGTCACTAGAAGTTCAAAACCGGGCACGACTAAACAATATGTTGTTTTGGAATAGATTCATAGGTGGGAAAACTATAAAGAAAGCCAGGGGAACGATAATTTTACAAAAATTGGGATAATAGTTATCTCTGGGGGGAGAGGGGAGGTACAATCCTGGAAAACTACGGGAGGAGATTTCCAAAACACTGACAGGTTCCTATTTCTCTATCTGTATGGTTGGTACGCAAGTGACCACACCTATGTGATGAAGCCTCCATAAAAATCGCTGAACGACAGGGTTTGGAGAGTTTCTGGATTGCTAAACGCATGGAGGTCCCCGGAGGGCAGTGCGCCCAAGAGAGCATGGAAGTTCCGTGCCCCTTCTCCCTTACCTCGCTCTATGCATCTGTTCCATCTGGTTGTTTCATTATTCTTTATATTAGACACATACACTTTATATATGCTTCTTTATATTTCACAACAAAGCAAATGCAAGAAAAAAATCAATGAATCTTCCTTCTACCATTAAAATTCTGATGAAATCCATGGACCCTATTTCCCAAACAATTAAAAAAAGATCCAGACATTTCATTTGAATACAGAGGGTTCATCGACCCCTTAAAGATCCCCTATGGGAAGGTTCCACATCTGGTGTTATAGTTGATTCACACCCCCATAAATCCTTGAGGCAGTGGCCATCTTTATCCAGAGCAGCAATGTGGCCCAGGAAACAACCTGGGCTGGGATGGTCCAGTGACGTCAGAACCAAGCCCGCACCCCTAAAGAGGAACTCTGCAAGTAGGCAGATTCCCCACAGTCAAACCTAGTCCCCTTTCCTCCCTACCTGGAGCATTTCCAGCTCCCTAGATCCCACGATCCTCCCTCTGCCTCCTCCTTCAGGGCCACACCTTTGGCCAACACGTCTAGCTGCTGGGCCCTCTGCAACATAAAAAAGCAGAATCCTTTGGGGAAGAGGAGAGTAAGGAAACACCAGAAGGTAGCTAATTACTTGTGTTACAAATAGTAATCTTGCTTTTTAAACCTTAGGAAGATAATGATCTGTTTTTGGTGTATTAAAGCTTAATTGTTTAAGAGGGGGAATAAAAATCAGCTTCAAAACAGGGGGAGCCTATAAGAAGAAGAAACGTCCTTAGAAGCAGTGTTGCGAGCTAGAATAGGATGACTTGCCATGTGGCATCGGGGAAGACACTTCCTCCCTCTGGGCTTCAGTTGCCCATCTGTTCAACGGAGGAGTTGCACTTCTAGAAGATGCCTAAGTCATCTGCACCCCTGACGTCGGGGGGTTCTCTGGTCACCAGCTTCATTTCTCTCTGCTCTGGAACTGTGCCAGATGGAGGCTTCCTCATAACCCAGTGCCTGACACATGGTAGGTGCCCAACTAATAGCGTGGTTGACTTGTACTGTGCTTACTCTTGTTCCCTAGTCCTCACACAGCCTATCACAGACATGAGCCTTTAGCTGGTCCTCAATACTGCGTTCCTCATCTCTAAAATGGGAGGAACCATGTAGGGCCAATGTGAGAATTAGATAAAGTATGTGCAAGCCCCTTGCCCAGTGCCTAGCACATACTAGGTACAATATAAATGGTCCCCATCTTTTTTGTCCTTGTTCATCATTCACCTGAAAAAGTTCATCTATTCTGGCTAATCCTGGTCCACTCCCTGCATACACAGACACAAGCACGCACGCGCACACACAGACACATACACACACACACACACATGCAGACACATACTCTTTCTCACGGAGCAGCTGCTTCCTCCCCAGGACTGACCATCATCCCACCGGATGTCCAGACAGTGCTGGGCAGCCAGGCACTGACTCGGCCAGTTACTGCAGATGGCCAAGAACTGCTGGTGGAAACGGAAAGCTAAGGTTCTACACCTCTCTGGATCCCCCGAGAGCCTCTATGTGTTAGACACAGCCACCAGGGTAATTGGGGGCCCCCAACACCTACACAACACCACATCTCCCTCAGGTCAAGGTCCACAAATGTTAAGTCAAAAAGTGAGGGTGATTCTGACTGAGGAGTGTCTCTTGGACGGTGTTGGCTGTTAAGTAAGGTCAGAGGTGGGGGATAGGGAGAGAAGGCCAGATAGAGAAGAGAGGAGGAAGGAAGAGGAAGAGGAGAAAGGAGGCAGGAAGGTAAAGAGGGGAGGAGGGGCCGGGCGCGGTGGCTCAAGCCTGTAATCCCAGCACTTTGGGAGGCCGAGACGGGCGGATCACGAGGTCAGGAGATCGAGACCATCCTGGCTAACCCGGTGAAACCCCGTCTCTACTAAAAAATACAAAAAACTAGCCGGGCGAGGTGGCGGGTGCCTGTAGTCCCAGCTACTCGGGAGGCTGAGGCAGGAGAATGGCGGGAACCCGGGAGGCGGAGCTTGCAGTGAGCCGAGATCTGGCCACAACACTCCAGCCTGGGGGACAGAGCGAGACTCCGTCTCAAAAAAAAAAA